TATTTTCACCATCTTCTAAGACATATTACTTGTCTTCATCGTAAATTGACTTCACAAATTCTATTTTCATATAATCATCCAAACTCTTCCAAAAACGATATTGGGATGGTTTGTCCCCAAAGTACTTACCTATTCGAATGATTTCCATCAAACCAAGCCTAAGTCGTGTCAACTCATCTCTCAAGCCATCCATTTCGGGTGTATAATCCGAGATTATCGAAACCAACTCATCTCTCAAGTTATCCATTTCGGGTATTTGAAGGACTTGGAAAGGAAGGAACACCAAATTCAGCTGTAAAATTTTCATTGTTTTCCATATTCATATTCTCTAGTTCGTCTGTAGCTCCTGTTGCTCCAGATCAGCAAATCTGCACCGATCTCCGCACCCTGGGCTGCGCTGAAAGTTTGACTGCGGCGGGATAGTTTAATAGGTCGTTCCTACCACATATTTGGTACATGCTCTTCAGTATAATCAATCGCTGCATGACATCTACGCACATAGGAATGGACAAATGTAACATATCAGTCTTGAACATGTTCTATGGGATTGCGTTCAACCTGCACTACGACTACGCAGTCTTGATTTGGAAGGAACTGGTTGAAGTGGTGCACAACAAGTCTAACAATAAAGCTCAGAAGTTCGTGTTGTTTCAGATATTCCTTCAAATCATCATGAGCCTGATGTGGTCGAACAATTAGATCCCAAAACGCCCACCTGAAGAAGGACTGAAGTTTGTTATGCACTTCATCAAGCTGTCCAATCGAGAGTTCGAACAGATCCTCCTGATATTCGTTGATCTTATTACCTACACAGACCAGAGTGCACCATGTGTGGTAGCAAACAGAGAGTCTCATGGTCTAATGGTCCAGCCAGAACCAGTTAGATCTCCCCAAGGACCAATCCTAAGGTAGGTGCGGAGGTAGGTCTAGGAAGTGAACATATTGAAAAATACATTGAGAGGGGATTAGGAGATAGGGGTGCCTCTAGTTCTGTATCTAACTCTTCGGACAACGAAGATGATTCATCGGATGATGGAGATCCAATTACCATTGTCTCTGCATCTTCATCAGCGGGAAGTGAATCAACCGAAGGCACATCAGACGATGACGATACGCCCGACGATGTTGATCGCTTACCAAGTCATATCGTAGCATTGTCAGAGATAATGTAGTCGAGTTCTGACGAAGTAATGATCCATGATACTGATGTCATGGATCTAGATCAAATCGTTACATCAACTATCGGAGATATAAGGAGGAATGAGGGTGCTGAAGTTGAAAATGTTGAGAGAGTATGTGAAGGGACGGAGAGTGAGAGTCGGTCGAAAAACCATCAGGACCGTTCCTAACCTATTATAAGCCAGGTTCCTACATCTACTATTGGGTCTCATTTGTTCAAATCCGATATTAAACAGGTCGTAGGGGACCCAACTACGCAATTGCACACCCCTCCCATCCACTCTAACACCTCTCAACAGGTCTTAGATTCAATTACGCATGGGGATTCAACACATACGCTATTCACCTCTCACTCTAGGAGTGTGAATATTGAAACTAGTAGACCACTGCCCCAGTCTACGCATTCATTTCTGAGCACATCAAGTATAGAGCCTAATACACTTATTAGGACACAAACATCTGGAGCATTTGTTGCTCATACTGTTGTTTTCTTCATGAACATGTCGGAACATCCCAAGTGGTATCTTCCACAGATACTCCACGAGGACAGGGTGAAAATCCTACCAGTGTTTCATCTTTGCCAACACTAAACGTAGGTCACACAATTGATTCAATCGTCGTGTTAACAGGAAGGCTAAGTGCCCCTGGTGGTCATTTACCCAAAACTGCAACCCAGATGCTGGCTAGAACCCTTGTTGTTGTTCAATCGTCAATACATAATCAACTGAGGAGACTACTGAAGGGAAAATCAGTCATGGAGCATGTGAATCCGACTCCATAACCATAGAATCAACCTACTCTCAAGCCGAGACAACCAACTAAATGTTCCATTGAAGAACTAAAGTCTCTATGCCAAGTTGTTGTTTGAGGCAGATGAAAGAGGATAGGTAGAAGCTGACCTCATTGGCATGCTCAGGATGCAAACATAACCTGACTATTTCATGAGACTGGATTTCCACACATTTCAAGATGAGGTCTGAAGCAGTTTTCGAAGTCTATCTATGCAGATCAACTCAGTAGCGAAAACGATCCAGTCATCATTCTAGGCCATGCCCGGGAAGATCCAGATCCTTCAGGACACTTGTAAGAGTCAGGCCAGTGTTTCCAAATGCAGATATGATGATGGGGACGACGACCCCAATCATCGTAAAGGGGAGAAGAGATAGCGAACCACATGCCCTGACGTTTCCCGTCAAATCCAAAGACAAACCTCTAGTGCTAAATCGTCACATCCTCAAGGTCAAAGTTAACAATCCACTGAAGCGGTCGAAGTGGAACCAGAGCCAATGGTTGAAAAGTCGGAGGCTATTGAAGATCAAAGAGCTGAAACTACAACTGCTGCTGTTGAGGTCCCAGGCACCGTTATAGACTTAGCATTTGATGAAGAGGGCCCTCAGCCGCAGCATATTATAAAAGAAATCGTCAACTTCTTCGCGTTCTCTGACGATGAAATGCTCGAAGAAGGGGATTCGACCACATCAATGATCTCAAAGAAGCCTTACCAGAATCGCCACCAAGAGATCAGTCGATTCCCCAACAACCAACTAGTTAGAGAACCTAGGGTCAGAGTGCTCCAGCAGTGACTCAAGTACAAAGGTGGTAGAGAACAAGGATCAGGGTCCCGTTCCTTAACGATATCGAGTTCAAAGTATTTGTCAGAAGAATTGTTGGATTGGATCCGCTTCGAGTTCTCTGAATCACTCATCTCAACAGCATTCAGGTCATCGAATACATGCATATGCTCAAGGCTAGGGCTTAACCGCTAGAGATGGTCAAAACAAGGCACAAAATAGTGGGCATAAAGAATATATATACTAAAAACTCATGAACGTTTCCCAGTTTTCACCATTCTGAGAACTGATGCAAAAAAATGGAAGTTCTCGAAAGCTGACTTCAGGCACTTATCCTTTGAAGATTCAAGACCATGTACATGGGCATCCATAACTGGACTATCAAACCAGAAGATGTGCAAATAGATATAGAAGCTACAAGCACTTCATGCTCCGTCAGATAATGCTCGGGTACGTGACTGACCTGCAAATGGGAATCGAAAGTAAAAAACTGAAGATAAACCTGATGAAGCCGAATCAGAGTCTTGAAGACATATAGTCCCTATCTTTGTTCCTGATCTTAGAGCAGCCTGAGTTTGGGATAGTGTACTCCAACAACATCGGAGAGAAGAAGTTCATGAGGTTCAATGAGCAACCAACTTATTTTGACGAAACCACAAAGCTTATCAAACTGAAGTTAGCAAGCAAGCTGGATCTGGAAAGAAGAGGCCTTGATAAGCTCAACCCTCATGACCAAAACCTGATGGTGAATCCTCTTGATCTTATTGACAAAAAGCTGGAGTATCGGAGGATACTGAGAAGGTTCGAGACATACTTTGGCCACCGCCTGAGAAGACGAAGTTTGTTTAAAGCTGCTTTATTACAAAAAAGGGAGAATGTTAGTTATTTAATTTTGTTTGTTATAAAGTAGAAGGATTTATTGTGTAAATATCGTCAAGGTATTTATAGTTTCCCTATTTTCTAGAATAGGTTATTTGTTTCATTTCCAATCATTAGACAATCAATGTAAGCCCGACTTTGGCAAAGTATTCTGTAATCAATCATTTGAATCAATAGACAACCAAATTATTGATCATTGAAGTGTTATCATTGAATTATTTGTTCTTATAATCATTATGGGTAAACAACAGATGTATATAGTAAGGACCAAGAATCTTACCCGGTAAATGATGGTGATGACTCTTACCATGGTTAGCGCTTATAAGGTAAATTGTTGCATACGATGTCTTTTTAGTGAACTAAAATCTTACCGGTTAAGTAAGTGATTATGTTGAATTTTACCGGTAAGTGCTTACCGAGTAAGTGTTTGGTAATGGCCCTTTATTCTAGAATATTGAAAAGTAATAATTTGTAACATCTCATTAAATGTCATAAAAGTAACTTACATATAAAAAATTACAACATCTCATTAAATACTATAAAAGTTACTTACACATAAAAATTATCTATTTACGCCTCATCATTAAATCAAAATTTTGAAATAATCTTTACTAAAGAATGAATCTTATTGTTGTAATAAGTTCACAAAGTTAATAACATATTCTTGATAAATAAAAAATCATACACTCGTTCTCTCTCTCTCTCTCTCTATATATATATATATATATATATATATCCATAACAATGTATCATCACTGATCATCATCAATATAATTAAAGAAGAATCAAGAGTGATGAAATGGCACTGAAATATTGTATTGGTATTAAATTTGATGATCCTAATAATGAGAAGATGATATATTGGAAGAAGATATGTAGATGAGATGAGGATGTTTCCACTCTCTCATGGTCATGTGATCGATTGGTATTTTTGGTAACTAAAAACATTAATAACTTTAAACTACATTTTATTTTATTATTAGTAAATTAAAATAAGGAGTTATGTTTCATCATACTAATTCATTTTTATTTATAAAAATACTAATACTAGAAATAAATATTGATGCTTGAAGGCAATCCGCATAAGTCTCATTCTATGGACCATTTCTTCATCTTCATTCTTGTTACCATCTTCATTCTTCCTTTTTTTTCTTTTTCTCTCTCTAAAATCTCTCTCTCTATCTCTCCCTGGCATCTTTATCTTTCTCTTTCTCCCTTTGATCTTTGTTTCATGCCCATATTAATCCATTCCATCTTCAAGTTTTTTGTACCTTTTACCAGTTGCCATCATTGTCCATTTTCCCTTGCACCTCCGGTGGGCGCGCACTCGTCGTGCGCCCACCACTGCCGCCAACCTCCGTCGTTGTCATGATGCCGGACCACCCCTCTAGCCTTTTTCAACTTCTCCTCTTTATCTCCATCCTCCACCTTGTAAATAGTTCCGATAACGACACCCTTCTCGACTTCAAGAATTCTCTCATTAATGGAGATAAGTTAACCACCTGGAACCCATTAACCACCCCATGTGACGGAAATACACCCAACTGGGATGGTCTTCTTTGTGCCAACGACACCGTTTGGGGGATACGACTCGAAGGAAAGGAGCTCGGCCGTACCATTGATACCAAAATCTTGACCAAACTGCCATCTTTGTTGACGATAAGCTTCCAAAACAATAGCTTTGAAGGTGGATTTCCGGAGTTCAAAAGGCTACGTGGATTGAGAAGTATTTTCTTGACGGCCAATAGGTTTTCCGGTGAGATTCCAGCGAATGCTTTTGATGGGATGAAAAGGCTTAAGAAGCTTTATTTGGCAAACAACAAGTTCCATGGTAAAATCCCTGCGTCGCTAACCACATTGCCGAAGCTAAGAGATTTGTTGCTGGAGAACAACCGATTTGAGGGTGAAATACCTATGTTTGTGAAAGATAATTTGACGATCGTAAACTTTACAAACAATAATTTACGTGGTCCTATCCCGAAACGGCTTCAGGAATTCCCCGCGAGCCAATTTTCCGGTGAGTCTTGGGTCATTTCTCTCGATCTTTGATGCAAGAACAACAACCATTCTAACAAAATTGGGTCTACAGTATCCTAATAACCCGTTTTACATACAGGATTTAGGTTTTTGGGACGCTTTTAAAATAAAGCTTTCTATTGATTTTTTTATACGACATTACAAAAGAGCTCCGATAAACTTATTACAACACTTTTATATATGACGCATTGAAATCCTAGGATCTCGATCCATTTAATTCATTCAAGCATGAATGCCTTTTGACAATAGGTAATGGCGAGCTTTGTGGAGCACCACTGGGAACACAATGCAAGGTGGCGACCTCCACTCCCGACTCCTCTTCCACCTCTCCCTCCACCTCCGCCACCAGCGGCAACAACACCTCCACCACCACAACCATCATAACAGTATTGGTGGTTGTTGCAGCGGTGGTGGCAATCGCAGCGGCTTTCATCATCCTCCAACAATTCGGCCCATCTTCCACAAATTGTCTTCAAGTTTCAGCCTGCAAGAAGGGACCTTCATCTGAACATAACGAAATGGAGCAAGGTTGTGCCACGGCCACAGCCGTGGTCAAAAAGGCTGATGCGTTGACTTTCTTAAGAGACGATGTAGAGAAGTTCAACCTGGCAGAGTTGTTGAAGGCGTCGGCGGTGATCCTAGGTGGTGGGGCGTTTGGATCAAGTTATAAGGCTGTTCTCAGCCGCCAGAGAGTGGTGGTCGTGAAGAAGTTCGAGCAAATGAATAACGTCACAAAAGATGAGTTCGTTAATCATATGCAACGGTTAGGCAAGTTGGATCACCCGAATGTGCTACCCGTTATCGCATTTTACTATCGGAGAGAAGAGAAACTCTTTGTCGTGGACTATGTCGAAAACATCAGCTTGGCCGTTCATCTTCACGGTATGCTAGTTATTTTATGACGTCCCAAGCCCAAAGCTTGATGTTTGATTATAAGTCCTTTTAAGTTATAAGTTGTCCATAACGTTTTATCATGGTTTTAAGTTGATTTTGAAGTTATTAGTATTTGGGCTTTCTAAACATCATAATCACATGCTACAACAGAATCGATTTATAGTATGTCAAATATGTCCAAATGTCCTAATAAACTGTTTTTTTTTATTTTAAGTTTATAGAACAAAACGATTGACACCAATCTAGCAGAAGTCAAAACCCATAAAGCCAAATTTGTTGTAGTGACATATCTGATGTTCTCGGGGAGCTAATTTGTAATCAAAAACGTTTCAGGAAACCGATCTAGCGGAAGTCAAAGCCTGGATTGGCCTACTCGGCTAAAGATCGTGAAAGGAATAGCAAGAGGGCTTATACACCTTTATAACGAGCTTCCAAGCCTTATCGCGCCTCATGGTCACCTCAAGTCATCAAACGTTTTACTGAACCGAGAGTTTGAGCCACTCCTCACTGACTATGGACTCGTTCCTATAACCAACCATGAACAGGCACGACAAGTCATGATCGCTTTCAAATCACCCGAGTACAAGAAACAGGGACGCATCACAAAGAAGACAGATGTATGGAGTCTTGGGGTGATGATTATCGAGATCATGACGGGGAAGTTATTGGCGAACTCGTTCAACCAAGGCAAAGGCGGTGACACCGAGCTAGCAGACTTTGTAGACTCGATGATGAAGGAGGAGGAGCTCACAACTGATGTGTTCGATAAAGAAATGGGAGAGTTTGATAAAGGTAACGAAGAGGAGATGGTGAAGTTGTTGAAGATCGGATTGAGTTGTTGCGAACCCGATGTAGACAAGAGATGGGATATCAAAGAAGTTGTTGATATTATCGAGAACGTGAAAGAGAAAAACGACGATGGAGACACCATGAACGACGATGATCGACAACAACGATGACATCGAGAATGATGAACGAGGTTAAAAATTGCAGGTTAGATTCATTTTAGTAGGGTAAAATGTCGGTTTCAGGGGCTTAGGACGTCCGTGAAGGTATTTTTGAGAATATTGTAGGAGAAACAAGAAAGGTTGTGTAATCGTAGTGAGGAAAAGTAGGGGGTGTTCGGTCCGACGTAATGTTTTTAGAGATTTGAAATTGGAAGGATTTGAAATGTTCGGTGTGAGTGGTTTGTAGAATTTAGAATGGAATTGAATTTCATTCTTTATAGATAATTTATAAAAATTATAGGAATAATTTAAATTATCTTTTATTAATTGATTATTACAAAAAGAATTTTATAAAAAGGAATAATCTAAATTACCTTTTATTAATTGATTGTTACAAACAGAATGTATTTTAAAACATTATTACAAACAAATCTTATGAAATATCTGGATTTCTACATCCAATATTTGTGGGATCTTAATTTGGAACTTTCCAAGAGATTGGATTGAAAACATTAAATCATCCAAACAGTTGATGTCATAACGATCTCGACAATATGTAGCTAAATAACATCCCAATCTTACTACATTTAATACCAGAAACAAACATACATAGCGGAAGTCTTCAAAAACTAAAATTTAACATTGAATGTTTTATTCTTACTAGTTTTTCCCAACTTGTTTTTGAAGTGTATAATATTTATATATGAGAAATAGAACAAATAAACCCACACACCCTCCTCACCTTTGGTGAGGTTTGAACCCCTGCCTTCCTAGGAAGTCAAAGACTCACATATCGCTAGGCCAAAAGCCATTTGGTTAGTTTTTCTCAACTTGTACTTTAAAAAACTGAAACAATTGAAATCATAAAGATTTGTCTATTACTCGCTAAAGCTCATCTTCTCTCTTGAATGACACTAATAAGCTCATAAGTTGCACACATAACATGTTATACCGGTACTGAAACGTACATACATACATAACCTATATATAATGTGAATTTTGTAACCGAGTGTATGGTGAGGAACCCTTGATATGATAATATTAACACTATACAAAGACGACATTTGCAATATATACTAGTACTTACTGACAATAGGTTTCTATTCATTTTTTAAACTGAATCAATGTCTCGGTCTGTATTCCCAAAATTACTGTTTTCATGACTAACGTAGTTGATATATCAAATTATTTTAAGTGGTGCTATAACCGATTAAAAACATGTAATAAATAGCATGTAAAGCATACTCAGAAATGTATCCAGTTTTGTAAATCACATGAAAACTCACATGATTGGGTAGGGTTTGAAACCCGAGTTGATAGTGAATTGGTACCATCACCTACACATATAGACTACTCTACCCTTTGGAGTAAATGACAAATCTGCATACATCTTACCTGCAAGACTCTATTTTTGAGTGATATGATATATATTCTGATTTTGGGGATTTAGAATCCATCTCAACCTGTTATGGTTGAAGATGCCCCAATACATAAGCTCTCCATTCAAGATGGTATTGTCATCATTAATTCTGCATTGTGAAAGGATTTAACGTTTTAATTAACATGAATAGAATAAATTTAGCAATCGTTATATATATCTTTGATTTTTTTTTTTTTTTGTTCCACTTGTATTGGTAGGACAAAAATAAAATGTATTCTTGGCTCACTCAATCTTGTCATGTCCCAGTTCATGTCACGTCAAACGTGAATAATAAGTTTTGTTTTATCATGTCTCGTCGTGTACCGAGTACCAAATGCACGATTTTTAGCTTTTCTTCATCTTCAAACCAAACACACATACTGAAGCCTTGTCTTTCAATCTTGTACAAATAACAAAAATTTCAATAGATTTTCTCTCTTTTACTTTATGTTGGGATTGTTGGTTCAATGTTTGTGCAACTGAGTCCGGTCCAAACTACCACGTCTCAAGAGGATCATGTGAAATGTAAATCAGGCACACAACAACCCGCTATGTGGCTAGGCAGGCTAGCTTAAGAGCCCAGTACCTGGTTGGCGGATCGTCCATTACTCTAACGTCTAACCAGATCAAGGTCGGGTTACGAAACTCCTTAGGCCAAATTAGGCCCATCTCCGCCGAGTAGTCCACACCACAAATTGCTTTAAGACTTGGACCACAACCCAGACCACAAGAGAAGTCGTCAAGGTACAGCCCAAGTAGCCGTTTGGGGTCACCAACCGAGACGTGTCGTGTTTACTTTATTCCATTTACTTTGACCCTTGAGTTTAATTTGTTTAGTGTTATTCCTATTATTCATTCGCTTGATCGTTGGGACTCAAGCCGGGTATTAGCAGTATCAACAAGGAGCCCAATCCCCAAAGGAACCATAACTCCCACCTATAGTTGCTAGACTTGAATCCTCACTTGTTTGAACAAGTATACCACCCTATAAACCAACTATGTTCCGCCCTGTTGGTTCATTGTTGTATGCGTATGCATATGCATATGTATATGTATAGGCCTAATCAAATGAGAATTGTTTAGTTTATGGTAACAATGAGATCCAATTTAAACCAACCATTTAGGATAATTAGTATGATTTCTTAAAATAAGTAGAATGGTAAATTAGTAAATTGTATTGAGTATTCAATTTACTTTAATTGGTTTAATATTCTATTTTTGAATTCAAGTAGCTAACTCTCTTTATTTCACAAGCAAATCAACGACTTTATTCCTTCTCCCTCAACTCTTCCATTTTCTCCGATCTCGACCTTCATTTTCTCCAGTGTCAACCACCATTTCTCTGGGACCTTCCTTCTCCCTCAACTACACCTATCACAACGTCCCCTCACTGTTCATCACATGTCCTTCCTAAAGCATCGATTCCCATAAAACTCGATCAACCATGACTTGCTTTAAACCCAGATTTGCATCGTACCCAGATCAAAAAATCCATATCTGGAAAATTTACATGGTGGCGATGAAAACATCCAAATATCAAATCAAGACCTTCAACAAATCCATATCCCCATCTCATCGGCCGATGTTCACCATTCTTGTCGGCCGTTGACCAAGAAGGAGTCGATATCATATCAAGACCTTCAACGAATCCAGATCTCAATCTCAATCAAAATCGGATAAAACATCCAAATATCGAAAGTCTGATCTCTCCATCTCATTCGAAGTCAGATCTGAAAACATCCAGATATCGAAGATCTGAAAATCGAAGGTTTTGTGTGTTGAAGGTCTGGTATCACAATAGGTATTATATGATACCGCAGTTGGTATCACAGTGGTACCACAGTTGGTACTATATTAGGTATTATAATGCATCTTGTATGTATTTTGGGTATCACAACGTGGATCATTTGTATGTAATTTTTTTTAGTCTCGAAATTTGCTTGGTATATTCTAAGATATCACATTGTATGTATTTTGAGTATGATATTGTGTATCTTGTCTTTACTAGGTGCTCGAATAAAGTTTACCGGAGGCCGAAGGTAGGAGAGAGAGAGAGGAGAGATAATATTTTTAAAATACTTAAAATGCCCTTTAATTAAAATTTTAAGTCAAATTACAAAAATTATTAGTTTCCTAATTTAACCATTAATTTATTGTTGATATTAGATCTCACAGTTATCACAAATTAGTCAGTTCTCTCTTGAATGACCCTATATTTTGTTGACTAAACTACGTGTTTGCTTAAAATGCAAACCTATATATACATACATATATATATATATACATATATATATACATACATATATATATATATATATACTAGAAGAGTACTCGCACAATGCAGCGAGATACATCTCGATTTTAATGTTCTATTTTATTATTTGTCTCTGACAATGTTATAATACGATTTTATGTGTTTTTAAGAAAGCAATAATGATTTTATTTTTGAATAAAATATAAATTTGAATATATCATAAAATTTTGAAAAAACAAATATATCAATATTAATATCAAATCAACTATTTAAAAGTTCTCATTTTTTACGTAATTTCTTTAAAAAAATTTAATTAAAGTTTAATAACGAAATAATTTATTTTTGTTTTAATAATATAACATTTTATAAAGATAATAATTAAGTATTCTGTTAGAATTCAATGGTTATCCTAATTATATTTTAGATTTTTTTATATTTAAAATGAGATGTATATTTTATATTTGATTATGTTTATCTGCAGTTAGTTACACGAATTCAAATATGGAGCTTTAATAAGTTATAATTACGCACAATCTACTTGTAATCTTGAGTTATAAGTAATATACATTAATAAACAGTACTTTACGCATAAAAAGTGATTTTTAAGAGTTTTTGTCAAATATTTTATAATATAGTACAGATATATATAAGGGCCTAATCAAATGAGAACTAATTAATTTGTGTAACCGTGAGGTCAAATCTTAACCACAATATATATATATATATATATATATATATATATATATATATAGACTTGGGATCATGTGAGACCAATGGTTTTTCGTGAGACCCATAAGACCAATTCTCAACCCTTGGATTAGATCTACAATCTGAAAATCCAAATATTCATAAATGCCACGAGACTTCTCAATAATCACAAAATTGCCACCGTGCAATTTAGACCATTAGATCATTAACTTATAAAACTAATCAATGAACACAAATTGGTCTTACGAATCTCACAAAAAAACTCTTGGTCTCACGTGAACCCAACCCTATATATATATATATATATATATATATATATATATAGGGGCTCATTCAAGGAATAACTGATTAGTTTGTGGTAACTGTGAGATCCAATCTCAACCACAAATCAACGGGTAAATTAGAAAATTAATAATTATGGTAGTTTAAGTTGAAATTATAATTAGAGGGCATTTTAGGTATTTTTAAAAAACTCCTCTCTTATCTCTCATCTCTCCGACCTCCAATCTCCGGCCTCCGGTGAACATTAATCCGGCAGGTACCAAGTAATCACAAAGATACACAATGTGATACCCATTGTGATCTACTATGATACCATTGTGATACCAACTATGATACCAACTCAAACCTTAAAAACAAAGATACACAATGTGATACCCATTGTAATACACAATATGATACCCATTATGATATACTGTGATACCGATTTCACCGGAGATTGGAGGTCGGAGAGAGGAGTTTTTAAAAAAAATACCTAATATGTCCTCTAATTATAATTTTAACTCAAACTACCATAATTATTAATTTCCTAATTTATCCGTTGATTTGTGGTTGAGATTGGATCTCACAATTACCACAAACTATTCGGTTCTCATTTGATTAAGCCCATATATATATATATATTCGTTGTTGACTAAACTAGGTGTTCGCTTAAAATGCAAACCTATTCTAGTTTCTACGAATTTGTTATTGGGGTACTAGTTTTGTGGTTGACTCTTGTTTATAGCATTGATGGTGATCTAACCTGGATCACAAATGGAGTTTGGTATTTGAAGTTCTTTTATTATGAAAATGCCCCAAATAAAATCAATTTCAAAAGAAACAAAATGCAGATTTACGCTTTTGGCCCACTAATACCATTATAAGTTATAACCAACCAAGATTGATACTTTGATAGCCTCATTGTGTCTTTAAAGCCCGAAAGTTATGAATGTATTAAACTTCAGATGTCAGACTGATTGAGCCCAGGAAAGTCAAACAAGAAGTATTAGCGTCTTAGAACGATATTTAGATCCTTAACAAGAAGCAGACTTGGCCAAGAGAGTTTTGACAAAGTCCCGAATTGGCGTTATCAAGTGTTGAATGACATGTAGGGTTAAGCTAAGGTTATTCCCAAAAGGTCTATTTGCAAAAAAACCGGTCTATTAAAGGCTATGTGATAGCTTCAAACATAAAGCTAACCTGCATAAACGAATCAAAAGTGCCTATAAGTATCCGAATACTACTATAATGCAAACACAAAAACGAATCTATCGTATGTGCATAGTTATATATGAGCCAACGATCATCTAAGCTAGTTGTTGACAGTTGTTTGTTAGCTGAAAAACTAGCTATTGGTTAATAAGCTAGCTGATAGCCAATAAACTAGTCACATTTGGTAAAAACTAACTCATAAGCTATGATAATGTAAAATGACCTAAAAGAAAATTATTAAAGCACATTTATGTAAAATATAAGAGGCATAGTTAGAAAAAAGTGAAAATAAACTCCAATATACTATTTGAAATAGTTTTTTCAAAAAGCTAGCATATAGCGTACCAAATGGAGCTTTTTCAATAAGCTCAAAAAATAAGTTATCTTATGATTACCAATCATTACCTTATATTTTAAAATGACCATCTGTAACCTAGCAGATAAAGTACATTACATAGCTCTTTATCCCTCCAGCCTAGAAGGAAAGATCATGCTTTTACTTTGGAGTGTCATGATGGGTTCAATATATGGGAGGCAACATAGTATGAGCATTTTATTAAACATTTACTCCGAGTATCAAAGCCAGCAACCTATGACTCCTGTAGTGAAGGAAGGTTATACAGGCTACAAGATATGGTTCAAACACAAACCTTACGGGTACAAGAGCTAAACACACATAAAGTATCAGCCTTTTTGGCCTAAAGTACTTAAAACTTGCCGCTCGAATGACTGATAAATCAAACCAAACCAAAATGAGACCCATCTATCCCATCCGGAGGTGGGTCTGGGAGGGTAAATATATATAGACTTGACCTCTACCCTAAAGAGTACAACACTGACCGATATGTTGTTAATAATAAACACAGAACAAAACCCACAACACCTACAAAAAATTTTGTCCAATGCTTAACAATGAGAACATGCAATTTATTACCATGTTCCAAATTCCTTTTTGAAGGTACAGAATCAAGCATGTTACTATAGTGCACTGAGGCACATATTTGGTGTGTGGTTTAATGATTTGAAACTAAGCATGCATAATAATGTTCATCTAATTAGCAGCTTCAAGAATGATCATAATCAGCTCAGCTCAACTGTCCTAAACCAATTGAAGCAGGCTAACTTCAAGGCAGGCAGGACCATCTGGTTGAACTCGGGTTTGGCTAGTTTAAACCATCAGCGGCTTACACGAGCTGGAGTTTGGAGAGGCTCAATGGAAGCTAAGGGGTTTACTTGGTATGAGAATGCAAGTTGCCACAAGTCCAAGACAGCCTTCTTTACAAACAAGACCTGTCCCTTTAGAATACTGCAGTGCCAAATACTTTTTCGATCAAATACCATTACATACTTGAACCAATTTTTAAATATCATTTTAGTGTTACTTGAATTTGGTACACAGACAAGACAGGAGGGAACTGAACTGGATAGGATTAGACATGCGAGAGTGAGGTGGCAGGCGAAACAATTGTTGAAGGTTTTAGAGTTTAATTTAATATGAGTAATTTAATAATTTATCAATCTTGTCTCATCTCCCTGGCTTTGGTGCATTTTTGTCCCACTCAGTCCTGTCTTGTCCAGTCCAATCCAATGTAGCGCCAAACATAGGAAACAATTTTTTGTCCTGCCCGGGTACCAAAAACACCATGAATTTTGCCATTTAAGTTATAGCTTTATGGAGACCAGTGAAGAAATCAAATATTCTTACCTTGTTATTGAATGTTTCTTCCTCCGCATAAAATAAAAAGTGAGAAGCATCAAAGCTGTCAGAAGGATACTTCCATTTGATATTGCAAACTTGATGCTACCGAACTTTACATTGAGAGTGCGGAACCACCAAAAGGTAGGAACATGCTGTGCGGAATATCTTAAAATTGCTTCTTTTGCAGTATCCTTCCCATCAGGTTGTTTCCCGGGAGTCTTTGATGATCCCTCAAATGGCGTTTGTTTTTTGTTAGAAACAGAAGAGGTTACATTCCCATCTCTTAGCAAATCTGATGTGGAGGACTGAGATCCAGTGGCATTAGATGAGTACATGGACTGTAAACGCCGTAAATATTCCTAAAAAGGAAACCACAGGCAGGAGAACTTTGTAAAGGGCAGGGAATATAATGGAAAAACTAATACAAACCACTATCCATTTAAGTGCAGATAATGTCATAGTACCAGATGAACATCTTTTAGAATCTTACTTCTGAAGTGACAAGTTAATCTGAGGTACAACTCAAAGACGATTATAATATGAAAACTGGGAATTGTCAAGAAAGGTATTGCTAATGACATTTTTGTCACTGATTAGGCTTGACCAGAGTGTATGGGGATAAGAGCTGTAAGATTTCCAGGATTATCATTAAGAATTACCCGGATACTCCTTTCACTGCCAAGAATTGCCCCACAATGCCCAAATCAAGGAACTATATTAAACCATCTATTCAGTAGGAAAATGATATCACAAAAAATTCCTTCTATCTGTTCTACTGAGCATTCAACACTATCCACAAGAATACATGATGATGGTTAAGGGAGGACCCAGAGCCTGAATTGTTACATTAAAACCAACTTGGAAAAAGGTACAAAAGAGAATAAACCTCACTTAATATGAGAGCAAAATCAGATTTATATCTTCTATACACATGAAAAAAAGGAAGTTAACTCATTTATTTGGGTAAAAGGTGGGAATTGAACCTCCACAGTAGATTCACAATCCGCTACCTCTCTCTCACGTGGCTACATTCACCCCGCCACAATTACTAACATAAGAGAAAAACCTGCTTCTCTAGTAGGCATGGTTCAGCAAAATTTTCAATATAATGGCATGATGATACGCACCTTGGCCAACCGGGTCAGATACTGTCCCGCTTTGGGTTAACCCGCACGGCTTTACAAAACGCGTCTTACCAGTTAGGCCAAGGAGTACTATATGAATCCAGCATCTCCTCTGCGAAGGTGCGGTGTGGGACAAGGAGTACCAATACAACCCCCCATAAGGAACGTATCAATACTCCCCTCTTGGAGACCATTCGTCCACGAATGGTGGTCCGAAGAGT